ATACATGACCTTCTTTCATCTGATATACATTAACATACGGTATTATAAATTCAAAATATGTATAGTTGTCACCGCATCACTCGACTGGAGCGGGATGTGTATATAGTCTCATACGAAATGTCACGACAGTTGAAACGACTTGTCTTCTGGTTGTTAATCGGACACATCAACTATTCAACAACCAAGACAAGCACCTGTTGGTGCGACCGCCTTTTCCCGCCATTTACTATACACGGGAACAGGTGGCATTTAATCGGGGTCAGCTGTGTGGGGTCACAAAAGCACAGTCTGTCCCCAGCTTTCATATACAGGTTCAAGGGCCCATTCGGAGTGAACGGGGACGTCGTATAAAGTGACTTAGAGAGTAGATCTACTATAGTTAGAAAAGGCTATATCTTGTGCATGGTGGTGAGAAAGAGTCAGTCATACATAGATAGATATATATACTCTTAAAAAACACCTTCGTTGGACCGGTTGAGTAGATTATACTGCTCATCTTTGGACTTTTGTATATATATGGACTTTTGTATATACTCAACCGGTTGATATGTATATGCATGCTATAGAGCATATACTTAATAACACAAACCAGCCTAGTCCATTCAACCCCTCATCCCCGACATGTCATATAAACATATTTATTTCCATAAAGTGGAAGGATTTGCAAATAAGCCTATCTTCCTATACTCATCCCATTTTCAGCTCTGATCGTCGCTATATGGCTGAAATAAGGCCGATGCGACGTTAAATTTTAACTCTCACTCACTCACTCACTCAATCACTCAATCACTCACCTCTGAATTAATTTCGTGAGACTTTGGGATTTCTTAATAATGGAGTAGTGTGCAGTCAGTCAGTATAACAGTATATTGGCTGTACATATATAGCTGGTTATACAGAGTAGGTCACTATGCCTGGCAGTATTGTGACAATACTATACCCTATAGGTATACAGAGTGAGTCATTAGATAGACCTTCTCTTGTATACTGTGTACGACATTCTTCCCATGCTGTGTCATATATGCTAAACCTCTCCCAAAGCACAGATCAAGGGTGGATATTTCATCTATCTATGTATGTGTGCAGGGGACAAATATGCATCCCGATTGTAAGGGTTATCTGAAGCATGGCGTCAAACGCAAGACCCTCAAACCGTTCAACACTAACTGCCGGGAAAAAGAAAGTATACACTTGAAATTTGGATTTCACCAACAAATTACAAACGTTACTTGGCTAAAACAGTCCCTGAAACATTGAAAACGTAATTTCAAAAACATAACTATCCAATACATTACCATCGAATAAATATTTTTCGCTTGTTTCATTACAAACATGGACGTAAACTTTATATATATGTAAACACGACTATGAAAAATGTATATATTAAAATGACAAATCCGTTATTTGCTAGAAAATTACATGAGGAAACATTTCAATACAATGGCCTCGGATCAAGGTTGTCGTGGTAACCTTTCAGCCTTGACCCCGCGTGAGACTGAGATAGGGCACACACATATGTATACGGAGAACCCAGTGTTGACATTCAACACCAGTCATGCTTGAGCAATACTGAACGAAGGAATGTCACTGTTTGACTAGCCTCTATCAAACTCTCCAAGCTGCTGAGAAGGCCTGGTGTATATGCTAAACCAGAGATAATTACTCGTATATCTTAATTGCCATGCACTAAATCCGCATCTCCGTGAACTTACTTGCTTTTAGGGTTGCTTACTTAATTTGGAGAACAAATTTGGAATTTTGAAATATGCCATGCAAAAGGTGGAGGGGGGACTAAATGGAGTTTGTGTGTTTTTATAGGTTTAGAATTTTAGGGTTTATTGGCAGCTTGTTTGTTGTACTTTTTGGCCTGTTTTGATTAGATATATGCCTAGTGCTTTAAAGGTTTGTAAGTCATTTAGGGGGTTTAGTACGTTTAGACGTTGTTATCTGTTATAAACGTGTCCGTTATATAAGCTTATTAAATGTACTGGGATCTGCACCGAGCAATCGCAGTTAAAAGAATTATTTAATGTCAACTCTGTCTTATTTAAAATATTATATTTTAAAACGCAGTTCATACACGTGCCCCGTATATAAACCTCTGTATATGTTGTCTGTGTGATGCATGGTGAGCTTCAGTATCGACTCTCCTCCAGCTCTTCAACATATCCTTGAAGATGAAGGCACGATTGAATTTCGATTTCAGCTTAATACAAGCTGGATCTGGAATCCATCAGCATTGAAATATAAAGGTGAGGTGAGGTGAAATGGGGTTTAACGTCGCGTCCAAGATTATTGCACTTATATAGCGACGTGCATGCACGTGTGTGTGTGGCTGCTTGTACTAGTCCGGACTGATGCCGATTTATAGTGCTAGCTCACTGAGATACCATGCCGCAGTTTAACATGAATACCCCACTCAGACACAGTATACTGACTCCGAGCCGACCAGTCCTTGTTTTAGCCCCTTAATGCCGAGCGCCAGACAGGGTAACAACAAGTTTTAACGTCTTTTGGTATGACGCGGCCGGGGATCGAACTCCGGACCTTCCGCTGTCCGGGCGGACGCTCTACCACAAGACCACGGAGGCGGTCTGAAATATAAAGAAAGATGAAAGCTATATGAGTCAGTTCTGTCTTCATTGATAGTACAGCTTCTACATAAATGCTTCATGATTGCTGGAAACGTCACTGCAGGTTGAATAACGTCCATAGAGCGGGCGTTCGGACTGGTCGAACTGTTGCTCGTGGCTTAATTCGTGGTCGTGCAATGAAAACTGGGAGAAGATATATTCGTTTAGTTTGAACATACATTTTATCCACATAAAAGGGTCGGGCTTTTCGTCCGAAGTCTGTCTGTCTGCTTGTTTCGGCTGATATTGTTCAAAGATTGAAATCGTCACAGCTTCCGTGCATCTTAAGTTGTACAGTAGAACACGGATCTAACGAACACGGATATAGCGAACAAACGGATACAACGAACTGTTAAAAAATCCCCAATTTATCTCCTATATAATATCATATAAAATTTACGTATATAACGAACTCTCTACAGCGAACTAACGGATACAGCGAACTGATATCTGATCACCGACAAGCCCATATATATATATATATATATATATATATATATATATATATATATATATATATATTGTGCAGTCATCAGTCGACGGGCCGACATCGGCTACATCGTTAAGCCTATATGTTGGAGTGCCAAATTTAAAACTGTTTGTCCACCACCGTAAACAAATCGGCGGAATTAACGCAATTAAGGGGATATAGCCCGGGGAGGGACAGAAGGCCGGCGGGGGGCGTTGATGTTATCACTGGAAAGGGTTTGTGACAGTTTCCTGTGGTCAACAATGACTGCAGGGTGAGTGACTGACCTCGTGGACATATCAAGTATACTTGCGTTCAAGCATGCATACAAAGGCTATCGTCTCACAAATCACACAATTGAAAGTTTTAAATAAAAAAAATATATTTTATAGATCATAGAATATGTATATGTATATAAAGAAATAAGATATACATATATACACTATGTAACTGAGAAATATTTTTAGACCGAAGTCGGGTACATTTTTGTTGCAGAGAAAATCTTGAAAACATACTAATACAGACGATTCGTTATGCAAACTCTTTATACAGAGAGATTATGAATGCGTGTATAACTATATGGATATATAATTATATATATATATATATATATATAATTGTGCCTACAATCTTTAAACCTTATATGTTTTATTGGAATTGATTCATTTCTCTGCGGTACTCAAAAACATATATATCCTCTATTTATATTATATATAATGAAATGTCCATCTACCGGCAAACGTGTTCATTCAATATTGATATCAATGGGCAAATACATTTCATTGATGCATAGCCTCTAAGCACAATCATACGCGGGCAAATATATACTTATACATGTTCATAGTTGTACGCAGTTGCATAACATGAGGTTATATGCATGAGATATACAATTAAAGGGTATCTGTGGTTATATCGTGTATTTATAGACCGTAGGCCATGTTTAAATCCGTGGACAATTAAAGGCGCTGCATGCATCGCCAACATGATGACCATGACCTCCTCCTCCACCCCACCCCCACCCCGACCCTTGTCAAACATGTAGGGTTCATTTTTGCGAGAAGGCTCGATGAGTAGTAATACACATTTTTTTGTTTACAATCAGCTTCATTTACACGGACGAACAAGGTATTTCATTGTACATGCATAAAACTAAAGAAAAATACATTACAAAGCACGTGACAATGTGTAAGCTTTATAAATATTTAAATATTTATACACTTATTTTATGTTATTTTATCAACAAATGACCAGCCATTAAAATGAAGACACATGAAGCCGCGCTCTTGCAGCTGGTCACCGTTGTGTTGTTAATTTTGGCAATGTACCTTTACTCGAGTCTGTTTATATCTGATAGATCTTGGGAGCTTTTGGGGTTTAAAGATATCACAATTTACAGTTTGCATATTAACTCGAATTATTGTTGAATGTTTCAAAAGCCACGTTAGCTTGAAGTAGAGTGTAGTAATGGGTAGACTCTATATAGTGAATTTTATATTTTAATTAAGAATATAATAATTTTAATGTTGAATCGTTTGCTATCAAATGTTTAAATGAAAAATAAACGTCATCTTTGTGTATGTCTTCGCGATATCACTATTGCTTCAATCTGAGGTTGAGTTGTCGATTTCACTTTTGAGTTTAAAGAATGAATGAAGAGGCCCGAGCCCTGCATAAAAATAATATCTCAAAAGGAAGTTGCTGCAGTCACTCTAAAGAGGATGTTAATATCGCCTTTGTTTAGTCGTATGTAAAATGTATGTGTTTTCTGTAATTTGCTGAACTCAATAGTGTCTAATTAGCATTCGTTTGATCAAATTTTAATCCTGATCGTGATCCGTATTACGTATGCTCAGTACCGGGCTATTTCACGTGATGTCAGATCGCGGGAAATACGATTTCGCGCCAATTGATCTGCTGCTTTGTTGTGATTCACAGTGAGGCTGAGAACCTAGAATCCGAAAACAACCATCCGTACAATCTGTCTCATCGCTTGCTTCTGGCACCTCCAACTGGATACTTTGGGGGATATTTGCACACTTGGATAACTACTTTATTCTGTTTTGAACTTATTTCGGATGTTGCAACATGGATGGATCTTTATTTTGTGATTGATGTGTACCCCTACTCGGAAGTTGACAACTTACACAAGATTGCCCAGGGACCGGACTGACCTTAAAATTATTTTGGAAAGTGTTAAAAATGCCACGAAAACAGACACTAGTTACGAAGCAGGCGTACCCTGTTGTTGTAAAACAAGAACCTGGCGTAGAAGCCAAATCACCGCAAATTATGAACTTGACGAGTATTTATAAACATCCATCGAGTGCTAACAAGATGCTGGCTTCTGGAGATTTGGGACTTTACTCGACAGTGAAAGTTGAGGCTGGTTATACACCACAAGGACCCAATTACAGCCCCTCCCCAATGAAACCCTCATTAATACGACCACAGGTAAAATGCAAACATCTTGGCCACGTATGCACACAGCTGCACTGCATATGCAATGTATCAAAATGTGCAACAAGCCGATAGGGGGCACCGCCCATCCCCCATCGCTTGCCAGCCGGGCGAAAACAACGTATTATTTTGAAAACATTTCACTGTTAAAAGTTTTTTACAATCGAAATTATATTTGTTTCTTGTTTGGATGACACAAAAGTATTCACGGCCATGGACATAAACTTAATTAAAGTTGGTCGAAGTTTCTCAACTTTGATATATGACCTTTAAAAATGGCCTCTCCTCAAAGGAATATCTTGATGACGTGCAACATTTCATCAACAGATGAATAGTCTGTGGAAAGTGTTAAATCTTAAAAAATAATGCAAATGCTTAATGTCAACCTTCTGTCTTCAGTTAATTTGGTTTTGATTATGACAACTTCCTCTATACTGAGCTTTTCAGGAGGAAGACCAGACGGAAGATTAAGGTTTTGTGTTATTATACATTGCTGTTTTAGATATCTATCAGGCTATATTACTGCTCTATCGTCAGGATAATTAATACATAGATAGTACATCTAGATAAAATTTGGCCTATATATTTCAACAATACAAGCTTAAGTTGAAAGGTTATTAAGCCATATTGGGATGTTTTGGATGAACAAAGAAAACTTCTATTCTAAACTTCTCAAACTATTTCAGTTTCAATCATGGGAAGTAGGTGTCAAGAACTTGTAGATTGAGGTTTGTATAGTATAAAAAAAACGTATGCGAGTTTTGATATGTCTATAAGGTTGATTCTATAACAATGTTGTAGGTGTAATAAAATTTGAATGTTTTAGCTAAGTATAAATTATGAATCATATATAGCATACTATATGATAGTTTCTAATTAAATGTATGCAGTGCCATGAAAGAAAACATGGCAAACGATTTTTAAGCTTTCATACTCAGATTTATTTCATAACTCCACTAGCATAAAATATGTTGGTATTCAACATGTTCAATGTGTTATATAAAATACTTGCATAAAACATGACCAAATTAACTATTTATAGTTGCTCATTCTATTTTTTGTTTGAAATATAGGTGATACTAATTATCTTTGCACTTGCCATTGTTTGCAAGTAATTTTCATTTGTTGGTCAATCCGTCTTTTTAATGTCATTACTTGCATAGGCAACGTAAGTTAACCCTGGAGATTCTTGATATCATTGACTCTTGAACCAAGATAAAAAGTTGCATGTGTTGTGTTCAGCATGACATTCATGTTCGACAAAGGTACATATTATAATTATTTTAGCTTTATATTTTAGAAGTTCAACTTGTCAAAATAAATAGTCTCCATATATTCTGTGACTGTAGAATATGATAAACTAGTTCTGTTAAGAAGTCTGCTGATTCAGCCAAAAAACCCACATCATTTAATATTGCATTTGTGCTGCACTGCATCAGTGTTCAACATACTCCCGGTTGATGTAGGTTGATCCCTGTACCATGTTTGCTATGTTGTCTACTGGTTTTGCAGGCAAAGAGGAAGCTGGAGCTGGAACCCGATGGCATGAGACTGGAAGGTTTCAAGACCCCCAAGAGTTGCAAGCGAAGAGGCAGATACCCATCAGAGTCAAGTCCTCGTGCTCGCAGTAAGAACAGCTTTCAAGCACCACTTCCTAGATCCGTGTCAGAATTACCATTCCACACTAATTATTTTGCCTTTTAATATATAGGCGACATGATTAAGGAACAAAATCTCAGATTTTTGGAGTCTACCATGATATATGGGTTTAGTTTCAGTTTCTAGGCTGTTAGTCCGAGATGAGTGACAATTTTTCCCCCAAGATCATGCATGGTGATTTATCCTTTCTCTGAGCACTTGTTCAAATGACACAGGCAAAATATCTTTAATGAGAAACTTGTATTTCATACCCTTAGGTAACTGTTAGGTAGATTTCTGTTGGGTGATGCTGGGGGAATCCAGGGTGGAATAAGTCCCCACTCGGACTGGTGAGAATCTTATGTTTGGAACATTCTATGCTATCGACCCCTGTTTTACTTGGCCTACTGTTTACAAGCCACTGATGTAGCTGTGAGATTGCTGAGTGTGGTGTCCACATTCACTGCTCACCCGTGAAGATCCAGGGTAGAATAGGTAGGTCTTCAGCAACCCATGCTTGCTGTAAAAGGCGCCTATGCTTGTCGTAAGAGACGCTTAATGGGATTGAGTGGTCAGGTTCACTGATTTGGTTGATGCACGTCATCGTATGCCAACTGCGTGGATCGATACTCATGGTGTCATTCAAGGGATTGTCTGGTCCAGACTCGTTTATTTACATCCCACCTTCATATAGCTGGAATATTGTTGAGTGCGGTGTTTAACAACAAACAAACAAACAAAACATTCACTGCTTACAAGTGTCTAATATATAATCTTTATAGTGTTCGAAGTGAAGAGTGAATGTTAGGGGTCCTTTTCACAACTGGAGATGTTAAAAGTTGCAGATTTAGGGTTCCCGAGGTTTAAAGACTAAACGGGCAAACTGCAAAGGCTTCAGGATGCTCCTCCATTTTGAATGCTGCTAAGTTTCCTGAAACCTTCAAATTGTTTTTATGTCTTCTCTCTCCTTGCAGCTGCTCGGTCTCCTCTGGAGAAGACTCGCTATGATACGTCGCTTGGTCTGCTCACAAAGAAGTTTGTAGGGTTATTACGAACTGCTCCTGATGGTGTAAGTTTAAACTAATTATCAGTGTTCTGTGAAGAGATTATTTACAATTTCATAGTAAGTGCCCCTGTCAGGCAAATTTGCCTTGCCAGTGAAATACGTCACCTCTAAAAAAGCCAAGACATTAGTTATAACAGTTAACTGTATTAACATTAATTGGGAAGTTGTTGATTCTAATTTGGAAATGTTTACTTTGGTTTGCTGCAGATTATAGGGCAGAGTATCAGATCTAAATAAATCTCTGTTGAGCCTATAACTAATATATACACACAAGAACTTAACACAGAGAATTTCGGACCTTTGCCATTGTGGATAGTAAACGGTAACCACACTGATATTGTGTATGTCAGGTTTTTTTCATATCCAGGTTAGAGTAATGTCCACATCGTTATTACTTCACTTGTGTGTATACACTGTTTTCCTCCGCCCGAGAATACAAACGGTCACTTTGCAGTGTAGTAGGGACACATCTCTCTTTGTCCCCTGGTTTGAAAAACAGGGATATAGTAGTCAGCATGTCTTGTCAATATATTGATATGTTGATACTAATATTTCCAGTCAATACACATACATAGTTTGTGCAATGTCAGTGAATGCTTTTCATTTTTCATACTTTCTTAAAACATTAATTTGTTGGTTACAAACAGTGCCTACATTACTTTCCCTGTGATGGTTACATATATTGCCTACATTGGTGTCCCCGTGTTGGTTACATATAGTGCCTACATTGGTGTCTCCGTGTTGGTTACATAATGTGCCTACATTAATGTCCCTGTGTTGGTTACATAATGTGTCTACATTAGTGTCCTGTGTTGGTTACATAGAGTGCCTACATTAGTGTCCCCCGTGTTGGTTACAGATAGTGTCTACATTAGTGTCCCTGTGTTGGTTACATAGAGTGCCTACATTAGTGTCCCCGTGTTGGTTACAGATAGTGTCTACGTTAGTGTCCCCGTGTTAGTTACAGATAGTGTCTACGTTAGTTTCCCTGTGTTGGTTACATAGAGTGCTTTCATTAGTGTCCCCGTGTTGGTTACATAGTGCCTACATTAGTGTCCCCATGTTGGTTACATAGTGCCTAGATTAGTGTCCCCGTGTTGATTACAAATAGTGCCTACATTAGTGTCCCCGTGTTGCTTACAAATAGTGTCTACGTTAGTGTCCCCGTGTTAGTTACAGATAGTGTCTACATTAGTTTCCCTGTGTTGGTTACATAGAGTGCTTTCATTAGTGTCCCCGTGTTGGTGTTAGATAGTGTCTTCATTAGTGTCCCCGTGTTGGTTACATAGAGTGCTTTCATTAGTGTCCCTGTGTTGGTTACATAGTGCCTACATTAGTGTCCCCATGTTGGTTACATAGTGCCTAGATTAGTGTCCCCGTGTTGATTACAAATAGTGCCTACATTAGTGTCCCCGTGTTGCTTACAAATAGTGCCTACATTAGTGTCCCCATGTTGGTTACATAGTGCCTACATTAGTGTCCCCGTGTTGCTTACAAATAGTGCCTACATTAGTGTCCCCATGTTCGTTACATAGTGCCTACTTTAGTGTCCCCGGGTTGCTTACAAATAGTGCCTACATTAGTGTCCCCATGTTGGTTACATAGTGCCTACATTAGTGTCCCCATGTTGGTTACATAGTGCCTACATTAGTGTCCCCATGTTGGTTACAAATAGTGCCTACATTAGTGTCCCCATGTTGCTTACAGATAGTGTCCTCATTAGTGTCCCCGGGTTGCTTACAAATAGTGCCTCCAATAGTGTCCCAGTGCATTCACAGGCCATTGAGGGAAGATAGGGTATACAAGACGGTGAAGTCCCCAGCACTATATTGTTGATAGACTTAATTAGTAGAGCTGGGTATCGCCTGGTATCTTGCGATATGATGTATATCACGATATGGACTGACAATACCACTAGTATCGTGATACACCACAACAAATAGTAAGAAATGATGAAATCACTGAAATACAACTCTAAGTCCTCTTGCTTCATTCATTTATTTATTGTTATCTCAAAAACAAGTTCTTAGCAACAAAAAAACACGAACAAAATAGTTTTAAATGAAGGGATGGTTATTAAGTGTAATAATTAGTTGACACGTTTTCAGTCTCCACATCCGTGTGTACTGCCATGCTTACATGTGGCGCTATTACAGGAGGTAACTCTAGCAGTTCCTCTTCTATTCTTAGCGTATCGTGATCTCACAAACGGATGATTCAAGTGTCGTCTGTACCTAAGTATCGATAATATCGTAGGTATCGGTGAATCGTTACATCCCTATAAAATGGGTCGGTTGGTTATAGGCAGTAATTCGGTTTATTGTGTGACATCGTACCCCAACAGTAGAGGATGTTGTTCATAATATCAATCACTGGTTTGTCTGACCTTGATTTGACTATTCACAAGCAACAACAAACAAATGATTTTTAGCAGACAAAATGGGTATGAATTTCGATTGTCCTGACTTTATGCTAGCTATTGCTTTGTATTTCCAGGTTGTAGATTTGAACAAGGCCGCAGAGGAACTAGAAGTACAGAAAAGAAGAATATACGATATAACAAACGTCTTAGAGGGAATTAACTTGATACAGAAAAAATCTAAAAATAATATTCAATGGAAGTGAGTATGAAGTCTCATCCCATTTTGTTGAGAGGTTATTCATAGTACTAGCTTAGATTAGAAGGAGTAAAAATAGAACTATGTTAAATGGCTAGAAACATGATATACAAATTCTAGGATTCATAAAGACATGTCATTGCATGCCTCATGAAAACAGCTTAGACTTTCTTTACAAAAAAGGTTTTGTACCTGCCACTGTTCTGAAATACTTGCAGATTTCTTGTGGCTTTCACATTAACTATTTTTGAGCTCTCTTTGAAATGTGTCAAATCCATGGAGAGGGTAAACATACTTTAGTTACCCTTGTAAATATGCCAGCTCCGCTGCTGCTGAAGTTGCCTATCTGCTACTGTTGGCATAGCTATCATTATAAGTGACCCCCCCTCCATCAAGGTACATGTATATGTTTGTGTTTCAGAGGTGCTACTAATTCTATTGCGGCTTCCAAGGGGCTGCCTATGATAACTACAGATGTTGTTGACCTACATTCAGGTTTGTGTGCTGTACACTTATATATTACAGTGTAATCACAATAACCTTCCTGGGATACCTGTGATGATCCGGGGTAGAATAGGTCCCAGCAACCCATGCTTGACGTAAAAGGCGACTATGCTTGTCATAAGAGGCTACTAATGGAATCAGGTCAGACTCGCAGACCTGGTTGATGCATGTCATCGTATCTAACGTTTCAAAAATGGCGTGGATCGATGCTCTTGATGTCAATCACTGCATTGTCTGGTCCAGACTCGATTATTTACACACCGCTGTCATATAGCTGGAATATTGTTGAGTGTGGTGTTAAGCAACAAACAAAAAGGTCCTGGCCCCCGTTCCACAAACTGATTTTAGCATTAAAACAATCATAAGTCCCATACTCTTACGAATTTCATAATGCTACAATTTTTTATTTAACAGGGTCTTTGTGACCTTCAAATCTACAAATTATCAAAGGGTCAAAAATGAACTTTAGTGACCATTGAAAATAGTTGTTTATTTATATAGTTATGAAAGCTTTGGCCTGTCATTAAGTGAGTTGGGTTTAATGCCTCTGTCATTAAGTGAGTTGGGTTTAATGCCTCTGTCATTAAGTGAGTTGGGTTTAATGCCTCTGTCAGTAAGTGAGTTGGGTTTAATGCCTCTGTCCTTAAGTGAGTTGGGTTTAATGCCTCTGTCATTAAGTGAGTGGGGTTTAATGCCTCTGTCCTTAAGTGAGTTGGGTTTAATGCCTCTGTCAGTAAGTGAGTTGGGTTTAATGCCTCTGTCATTAAGTGAGTGGGGTTTAATGCCTCTGTCATTAAGTGAGTTGGGTTTAATGCCTCTGTCATTAAGTGAGTTGGGTTTAATGCCTCTGACACAGTATTCCAGGCAGTTAAATCATGGTGTGTCAGTTCAAAGTGGGAAGTAAGCCTGAAGTGATGCAGGTCTCCGATGTTTACCACTTTCATGAAAGCCTATCAGTGAAGATAGTGAACATCATGACTGTTTTATTTTTCAGATGTTGCAGATTTGGAAGCTAAAGAAAATATGCTTGATGATTTAATAGCCAACTCAACAAGACAGCTGAAAAATATGACGGAAGATGCTGACAATGCTCGATATCCTTTATTCAACAGTTTACAACTAAAATATCAATCCTGAGAACCAGCAATCCAATATGGAGTACTTATTGTGATGATATAGCCGAGATATCCCAGGTATTGGTGTCAAATAGCGCTGCATCACTGGTTTGGCTAGGCTGTATTGTAGATGCCTCAGGATTTGCTGACCTCTCGTATCAATACATATCACAATACTTCTGTTACGAAATATCGGTACTTTGTTTGCGCTGTTTTTGCATGAAATTCTCCATATCAACCAGTTAGTTATCTCATGACTTTTATGTAAGTAGTCTTATTTTATTATTTATTTATTGAAAATATATTCCATTTCCAATTTCATGTTAACAAATATTTAGAGTGGGCAAGTCATTTCACTATCAAGGTAGAAGACAATAAAAAACTGACGGAGGGAATTGACACAATGTTAAGAAGTGGACAGTTATGAGACTTATACGTGGATCAAATATTTTATGTACACTTCCTGACTATGGACAGAGAGTAGAATGACGTAGTGTAAAATTATTGTCCCCCTGAGAGGATATAGTAAGTCCATGTCATTCAAAGAATATTTCTGCCTACTACTCTTAAACTCGAACTTTGCATACGATCGCCAGTTGCTGAAGGGATGATGTAAATCCTGCTGGTAGCAAAGGCACTGTAAGTCCCCATGGTCCCCAGTGTGGTGGTCTACCTTCAGTTGCTGACGATCTATAGCCCGTTTTTGTCTTGTATCGTTATGTATAGTGCTATTCTCTTTTATGGTTCCGTACTAGTTTTATATCTTTTTCTGTGATAAATCTAGTTATTTTACTGTCCTTGGTTGACAGGTTTTTATGTAAGTTTCAGAGTATGTATTATGTTTAACTATTGATAGTCACGATATGGCTGAAAAATTGCCGATGTGACTTAAAATTTTAACTCACTCACTCACTCACAGAGAGTAGAAGTCAGTTGCTTCCATTTCTTGTGGTAACAATGGATTCTGTTGTTTTTGTTTGCAATATATTTTTCAATTTGACAAATATCACCTATTGGTTTGAGTTACTAACAATCCTTTCCCTGATAGTCAGTATGTGCAGCATGAACAGATATCCGTGAATACAAGTGTAACATGTATTGTAAGCCTAGTGACCTCAGGACAACCCGTGGGGATCCCAAGTTAGACTATTCTAGTTGTGGCCTATGATAGTGGTCCAAAGCTACCGATTGGATCAGGTGGTCCGGCTTAGTGATTCCCGCTGGCTTTTGAAACTGCCCTGTCCTTGTGGACTGGCAACTCTAAACATTACCCGTCAACCCCCTCCCCCCCTAATTTTTGCCAGTCCTAACTTTCAACAAATAAAAAAATGTATGAAAATAATTTGGTTTTAATACTTTCAACATCATGTTCAGTGCAAAGATGTCTTTCTGAAGTAACTTAGTTAGATCTATACGTCATTCACACAAACTTCAGTCACAATTTTCTCTCTCTCAATTTTCAATATTTCGAGACGATGTTTCAACAACAAAGATTTATAAGGTACTTTATGTGCCGGTCCAAAGGGACTGGCAGTCACATGAATTACCGGTCCAAGCCTAATTTTACTGGTAAAAAACTGGTAATTACCGGTAAACGGGAATGCTGCTGGCTGGTAGTGTGTCCTCGAACCAGGATGGCATGGAACATTACTCCAAATATTAACTGGCCGCCGTCATATTGCTAGAATATTTACAACTGTGGCATTGAACAACAAACAAAACCCCTGGCTCACCTGTATGTTCAACCGTGATCAGACTGTCACACTGACCACTGGACAGGGTTCTTTGATGATATTAAGATATTCTTGCTGTCTGAATGCCTGTGTATCTTTTCCTTAACTCTTGCACGTTAGCGTATGTGACGTACCAGGACATACGGAATCTCCGGTCTCTAGATGAACAAACTGTGATTGCCATTAAAGCGCCACCAGAGACCCGGTTAGAGGTGCCGGATCCACAACAAGTAAGTGTGATCAGATTGCTGCTACTTTGGCGAATTAGTTACAATTTCTAGGTCATTGGTTTTAAAAACACAGAGCTCCAGATAAGCTTTTGGTGTTATTGGTATTTTACCCATGTAACTGTCAATGTGGAGTTTGGCAAGGTTGACAGAATGCCCATTTATAATTTCAAAATAAGTTGCTGATTGGCTAATCGAATACGCAGGGTTACTTCACAATATTTTGATGATACACACAAGTTTTATTTTTGTAGCGTATCTGTAATGTTCGTTGCGTATTTGATACGCTTGGATTTTAGTTTACTGCATATTTCTGCATTTCTGATGCGTATTTTACGCAGATACGCAGCTTATCTGGAGCTCTGAAAACAATTGATCAGGAAAGATATTTAACAGAACAGTAACTGTACAGAGAGTATGTGCATGATTGCACACTGGGTTTTGGGATCCAGACTTGATTATTTACAGACTGCCATCATATGACTGGAATATTGCTGAGTGCAGCGCTATTAAGTGTTAAACAACTAACAAGGATTAAAGAAATTGTATTATCCCAAATAAATTCATTAAGATAATCATATTGAAAATTAAGTGATGATTGGTTAGATTTGAAACCATCTGATCATCGTTGAAATCTATTGTTCTTATTGCATTTAATAAGAACTATTTACTATTGTAACAGTGGTTTGTTGTGTTGTTTTCCCAGAAACCATTGCTTGTAAGATGCCCTCTGCAAGACTACAAATGCTAAAGAGACAATTATGGTGTTGGAAAATTTTAGTGAATTATGTATGGACCTGTATGGAATATATCTAATGTAAAGTTGTTTGTGCAGCCGAAGTGAAATGAGGTTTCATGAAAGAATTCATGTTTTTCAGAGTATACAGATCTGGTTGAAGAGTCAGAAGGGCCCAATCGAAGTGTTCCTGTGTCCTGAGGAGATCACTGACATGGACAATAGCAACGACAGCTGCCCCAGCGACAGCGGCGGCACTACCGAGAGCACCTCAAGTGATATTGGCAGTGCAAAGAAGAGTGTTAGTGTAGGGAGCTGTGGGGAGGAGAGCTGCTTCTCGGAAGATTCGGTATCCTGTGATAGTTTTAAAGGTAAGGCGGATCCTGATGCAGCAGGAGCTAATGATGGCTGGTGATCTGAATGTTAACAAGTTGTAAAGAAGTACTAGCGGTGTTGCCTTCTTACATATCCACTCTCTTCTCCACACTCAGTTTTCAGTTTTTGTGTGAAATTCTCCATGTTCCAAGTTGTTACCAGTGAGTGTGTGTTTAAAATGCATGATGGATTAATTAAGGCTCGTTCTAAATGTATTAGTCACATTTTTTGTAATCTTACTGCTGTCAGTACACGGCTGCAGAAACACTACGTTTTGCACAGAATCATTGATATTTTGGACAAAATTCTACCAATGTAAAATGTAGAAAACACATTGCTTGTAATGTCGACGAGTTATGTGCATTTTTAATCCATTAATTTAGTTTCTGAATTGGCTCAATCTTAGTTCATTGCAAGGGATAGGCATTGAGAGATTGCATGCAAAACTTCTTCTGGAGAGGTGTGTGTGTGTGTTTGTTCAAACTAGTATATAACCAAATAAACAGTTCTGTACAATCAACCTGGGAAATGTTTACATTAATTTTGGAGATATTGTGTCAAATAGGCAAATCACATCAACTTGTCATCAGCTCACCCTGAAACGAACATTAGTTAGAGATATAAAGTCTCCCGTCTTCCTGTCACTGCAGTGAAATTTCTTTTCAGTTGTGTTATTGGTCATGACTAAGTATTTTTAACTGAATCTCTCCTAGATGGGGAGGAAGTTGGTGAACTGCTGATTGCTATTTCTGGCTTATTTTACAAGACGAGTAAACATTTAATCTTAACCTCTGCGTATGAAACATTATCCTGCACAGAGTGCACAAATACCATTGAATTTGTAAATCATCATGTCTAGTGATGTTTTATCATAAATTTCATGTTTTCATTGACCAAATTTGCAAATGGCAAAACAAGCACACAAACTCCTATTGCCGCCATGACCGTGACCATGACATGAGATGCACAGTTAAGCAGTGTGCATGTAAAGGGAAGTAACTGCATACTATTTTTGGATCGCGTTGTTTTTTAGTATTGTAGCCTTTCACTGCCTGGATCATGTGTGTGAAAAGCAGAATGGTTAAGGATTTGATTTTTTTTAATGGAAATATAAACGAAACATATTGCAGACTTTATGATGATAATGGACGGTGACCGAGAACTAAGACTATCATACTTTTAATCCTAAATCCATAACATAATGATTAGGCCTGTGCATTGCTAGTAAAATTACTGGCCTTATTCAATGTGTTATAATTAAATACCATGTGAACATTGGTCTTTATGTTTTTGAATCAACAACCTCTTGTATAAGAAGTCTATATTACTAGCGGGATACATAAAAGAAGAAAATATTTTTATGTTTAATTTATTTCTTTTCCCGCTGTTTTTCAGTAGGGGTGGCGGGCCCATGAAACAAAAGATAACGAATGTGTGGCCTACCTTGTCCTGGGACAATTTCACAATTTTGATATTTCCACATCTCTCTGATCAGTCAAACCAGTGTTGTTTCTATCCCTGCACTAATTTTGTATTCATATTGAATGGCGGTCGGTCGGGTAGCCTTGTGGTTAAAGCTTTAGCTCGTCACGCCGAAGACCCGGGTTTGATTCCCGACATGGGTACAATGTATGAAGCCCATTTCTGGTGATATTGCTGAAATATTGCTAAAAGCAGCGTAAAACCATACTCACGCACGCACGAAAGCACACCCACCCACTCACTCATATTGAATGGTATTCTGTTCTCAGGTCAGCCTAAATTAAAGAATGCTCTGCTGGAGGAAGAAGACCTGTCCCCCGACTGTAATCAGAGCCTGTTACTGCAGACCGAAGACCAGAACTTTGACTCACCGTTCGTCCACCTGGAACCCCCTCTCGACGTGGACGACTACATGTTTGGTCTGACGGACTGCGAGGGCATCTCCGATCTTTTCGATGCCTATGATATCACGCTAGCAGTATAGTTGTCTGTTTAGGAATGCTGTACAGGAGAGACACACTGTCATTCTGCAATCTTTTTGTAATTTGTGTTTTCTTTTCTTTTTTTAACAAATTCAAGAAATCCTAATATTGAGGTTTAATTGCTTCAACGGTATATGATTTTGTTAAGGATGTTTCCTATGTTTGAGTGGAACTTTTTGAATTGCTATGATATATAGTCAAACTTTGTTGAAACCTCGTTAACTTAATACATTGTTTTAAGACAATGTAATGTTATTGTCCGGAGAGAAACCTCATCACCAAAATGTTCTAATATAGGTGCTCTTGACCCTTCTGACTGTCTTCATAACCAGAGTGAACAAGGTTTTGCTGAAGATACCTTGTACCAGCTTAACTATAAAGCTCTCATATGCTGTTGATGTACATTACGTAGTTGTGTAGCTTGAAGTATTTTTTTCCCCTCTCCTGCAGAGCATTCTAAACAGAGGCGTGGCTAGTTAGACTTGACCATGCTAGTAATTGATGTTAGCATGATGTGTTGTGTAGATGTGTGGCTTTTTCTGTGTGAATGGCAGGCCAGGTTTGTGGAGAAGAGATACTCATTTTGAATTTGTGAACTGCTAGTTACTGAGTGAGCATTGAATGTTTCTTCATTTAAGCACTGCATGTAATGTTTTGAAAAGCTTCCTGTTTCTTTTCGTCAGAAGTATTTACAATATAATGGGTAGTATTGTCGATAAATCATGAATAAGCTTGTACCCCCGGTATCATGATCTGATTAATATGCAAATAAGGCACCCTAGCAGAAATTGTTTTTGATCTCTGTACATGAATTCAATGTCTTGTTTGCTCAATAAACTATTGAGGGGACAGTCAGGTAGCCTAGTGGTTAAAGTGTTTGCTCGTCAAGCCAAAGACCCGGGTTCAATTCTCGACATGGGTACAAGGTGTGAAGCCCATTTCTGTTGTCCCCTGCCGTGATATTGCTGGAATATTGCTAAAAGCGGAGTAAAACTGAACTCACAAACTCAGTAAACTATTGACTTACGTTCCCACCAAGTTTGTAGGGTTTTCCGAGGTTTGAGTGATTATGTAGACAAGTATGGCTGCAAATTGTTTGTAACTATGTTATGAATGGGACGGTTCACACAGAATTTACCTCTTGTATTTGTGATGAAATCCTGGAGACTTTAAAGTCCCAATGAGCAGTTGACAAAACTTTTCCATCTACACATTAGTCACTTACCTTCAATACTTGAAAACATATGAAGTTAATGATTACTTATCCACTGCCACATAAATGCAATCTCATGCTTCAAAGGACTTGTAGTCTGATGTCCTGAGTCGAGCATGGCAAGGTGAGGTGAAATGAGGTTTAAAGTCGTGTTCCAAGCTTACAGTAGTTCCTGCTCGGTGGCCTTATTTCCATATATATCAGAACATATGTACAAGTGTATTGGATTTGTTTAAGGTGAGGTGAGGTGAAATGGGGTTTAACGTTGCGTCCAAGATTATTGCACTTATATAGCGATGTGCATGTACGTGTGTGTGTGTGTGGCTGGTTGTACTAGTCCGGACTGATGCTGATTTATAGTGCTAGCTCACTGAGATACCATGCAGCAGTTTAACATGAATACCCCACTCAGACACAGTATACTGACTCCAAGCCAACCAGTCCTTGCTTTAGCCCCTTAATGCCGAGTGCCAGACAGGATAACAACAAGTACCATCTTTTAACGTCTTTTGGTATGACGCGGTCGGGGATCTAACCCACTCTCCGGGCGGACGCTCTACCACTAGACCACGGAGGCGGTCTGGATAGGTTGAACACATCAGTAACACTGTCTATTATTTATTATATATATCTTTTAAGTATTTATGAAGTAAAAGACGAGGGGGAATTGTTTATCATACAATAAAACACTGCAGTGAAAATCCATGCTAGGCCCAGGCCCTTGTGATTTATTCTCCTTGCAGTGTTTAATTATATGATAACAACCATGAGTCGTTCATCTCTTATGTGAGATATCAACAATATTTTCAATCTCCCTAGGATGTTAATAAATTTTAAATTTTACAAGCTTTAAAATTCTTTACCCATATTTAAATAATAGACTCCCTGTATCTAATCAGATCTTCACAATGTTGGACAAGTCTGTTTTATGAACAGAGGCCAAAATTGAGTATTTTCTGAATATTCTCATCTTGTATTGATTATCTGTAAAATTTCTCCCAATTCAGATTGCCATATCTCTCTCACTGTTTTGATGCGGTCGTTTGGCCACACTTTTGTCTGTTGCCCAGCTGCATCTAGGGGGGATAATTCACTACCCTAACAAAAATAACATCCAATTTATGACGTCGTCAAGTTGCGAGTGCATGTTCGAATCTCCAGAAATGACATCATGATAGAACAATCTTTTTCAGTGAAATAAACCATACTTTGTTCTTCATTGTTCACATAGCCATCTTATATTACATGATCAATACTTTTTAATGATCAGTCAATGCTGTACAAATTAACTCAAAGGAGTCAACTATTTCCATGGATCATTTGGTCAGTTCACTTCAGAAAACGATCTCTTCTCCACAATCTTGCTCTAGAGGTGCTTTATTTATATACCATATTTACATGAAGACAAACTGTACAAACTGTTTCTTATTTTGATTATGCAGATCACTGCCAAGTACATAATGTACTGATATAGGTGTATCCCTTGCTGTGCTGTTTCCGTGGTATTTATTATAGTGAAGCAGCCGGTAAAAGTGCTTTTGTTGACATTGTTACGGTATTGCCCTATTAACCAGCCATGTTGTCATCCCCATTGTTTTGAGTGTCTCAGGTATGTGTGGGGTCATCTCAAAAGTTCTTTTTATTGCAAATCAGGACTTGATTTCAGATATTGCTGTACTAGATTTCCTCTGAACCCTTTGAGATGGCCCATGACTAATGGCAGGTGTAACTGAGTCTTTTATGTCGTTTGCAGTAGGTGTTTCATTCATTGCACACATGTCAAGATGTTACGTCACAAAATAGAAATTTGTTGTCGAGATATATTTTTATGTTAAACATTTTTGATAAGCGTTGGGATGGTTTGTGTTGTTTTTGAAAATACCTTCAAGTTTAGTGCAAAAAAATGTTATGGAAATCTTGACGATTTGATAAGTCGTAGATATAGATATGCAGGTGCAGTTATGTACTCGGGTGCATATTTTGCACATATAGTTGACAGGTTTGCTTAACTGCATCTCATTTAAGTGTTTTCAACTTTTGTATAAAACACTGATGTACTCGAATACTTTTTTACCACAGCATTTTCAGTGTAAAAATTCTGTTTGCTTTTAACTTTATAGCTTGCCCCTTTTAATTTATTATCACTAGATTTATATATTTAATCCCATGAATTGTTGAATGAAGTTAATATGGAAAACAAAACAATAATTTGAATATCTTTTAGTATTTCTAGTCACCATGCCAAATGTTCTAAATAGTATTAGTGAAACCATTTCTAGATTAATTGGACAAGGTTCATTTTACACGGAACATTTTGATAAATACAAACTTATCAATGCTTAGGGTGCAGTGAAAAAGACAGTCAAGAGTTATCTCCCCTTGACCTCCATTTCAGTCCATGTGGAAGAGATAAGTTCGAAAAATCTGTGAGAAGGAAAGACTCCTCAAATTTTATGATTGTTCCACATTTATGAGATTTTGGTACAGACCAGGGCCCACTTGTACAAAGAGATCTTAGAGCTATGACTATCGTAAGCCTATGTTAAAGTATGGGAGTTACGATCATCTTAGCGCTAAGATCGCTTTGTCAAGTGGGCCCAGTAAACCAAATAATGATAATAAAAAAAAATTCCTTATCTTATGGAGTGTTCATGTTACTGTGGAAATACATCATCTATCCTCTGGTAAGACCAACAGAGGCCCTTTAGTCAATGTGAACAAGAAAAAATAGCAGTTGGAGGTGGGAAGGTATGCATCTGTTGACCCTACAGTCTGTTTGTTCATATTTTCTGTGCATATGCATTTATGGATTTTGGTGATTGTAATACAACACAAACACTTGTACATACTGGAAGTGAAAACAGGTGCTTGAGTCGGACAGTTCTATTTACATCCTGCACAGTGTATATTGTATTGTATAATTTATTTAGCATATATGTACAGGTTTGTAGTTAATATAAGATGATATTAGCACAATTCTGACCTTGTAAGAGAAATGGTCATAAAAGTAACATTATTACTGAAGAAATATTTTGATAGATATTGCAGAAAATGAAATAATTATGTTATTGATGGATTAGAAAATAATTATCTGCTTACACAAGTCAAGAAAAGATTGCTCGTTTCCTTGCATGAAAATAGGTTGTAGCTTCCCTCATTGACTTTAAAATATGCCCATTTGTAAGATCTACATTTCATTTGTGAATGACGCAGCTGGTGAGGGTGTTCCTGAACTGGGTTTCATCGTCTTCTCAGTGTTCCAATTCTCCTCCATCCATGCATCATCCATAAATACATTTATTTTTGTACTGCGGTAATCTTGTCTGGAAAGTGCCTTGTTGATGTTTGTATTTTTGTCACTAAAGACTCACTTCACACATACTCGCCTGTAGCCTTTAGCATTCTATATTCACATCTACTCCCATCCATGCACATTAACGCCCATCTCTGAAGAAATCTTCCCTTTAAGAAAAATCTTCAATTTTACATCTATTTTCAAGGCCCAACTTGTGATGTGCTCAAGTCTCTATGGGTTCATCCTGGTCACTGGTGTGGACCAACAAATGTCTTGATTAATAAATCTGAGACACGTTCTAATATACGTTGGCAACAAAAATGTCGGGAAAATGAGGTTGAGACTTGTGAATTCTCATTACATGGGAGTTGGGAGTGTTGGGATGAAGAATTTATGAAAACAGAATGTTTTGGCAGTGTTTGTGCAAATCATTTAATTAGTAATGATACTTATTTCCTACCAACCTGATACTTAAAAGATTTTTATGTTTTGAAAATGAAAGAAAATGTAACTTATGTAGTTTTGAGTAGGTTTAACTTGAAGGAAAATTGTGAATTTGAGGTATTATTTCAGTTGGCACATGTTCGTTTTAGAGCAGCCTTCTGACTGCACACCTGTACACAGTTGATTAAAAGCACAATTGAAGATGCTACCTATTTTCTGTAATTTCCTATTTGATCATGTGTGCCAATAACTGGTGTCTTGTATTTGAACATGGTCAAAGCTTTTTTTGTAACATTTTTTTTCGAAGTTTATAGTTTTTCAAGAATGAGTCATTTATGTGTCATCTGTCCTCGATTCAAGAATGAATCATTTGTGTCACCCGTCGTTTATGCTGTCGTCATTGCTGTGTCTTCACAGTTTGTTAGTCTTCTTCATGTTTCATGCGGGGGCATGGGTGGCCCAGTCGTCTAAGGCGCCGCGATTCGCTGTGCAGAGTTGCGTCCCTTGGGCACGCCAGAAACCTATGATTGTGGGTTCGAATCCCAGTTCGCCCCAATTATGTTTCTAGGTTTGTCAGCACCATACCCGTGCTCGTGGGTTTCCGTGATATAACTGGAATACTGTTAAAAGCGGCGTAAAACCCCACTCACTCACTCATGTTTCACGCAGTGTTGCTTGTGACACCAGCCATGAGTCAAATGTATTGTCGGACTTATTTTCTTCGTCTAATTCCAAGTGTGAATCTCGTATCTATGAGACTAGTTTACATTTACATCACATAGCTTCCATTTGAATCTTACTGAAATTACTTAGCATCAGCTGTACTTTATTACTGTGGGGTACACATACAAGTTTATCCTCAAGTTACA